CCCATACCCATCAGAATCTCTCTTATTACAAGATGTGCGTTACCTCTTGTTCTCCTGCCATGCACTACTGTGAAGAGACTAATTCCATCTTGTTCATCTTCTCATAGGAGCCGGAAGGCTGCTGTTAGGCCTCCCTGAAGCCTTTTATTCTCCAGGCTGAATGAGCCTGGTTCCCTCAGCCCCGTCTCACAGGGCAAGTGCTCCAATCCTAAACTGTCTTGGTGGCCATAGTTTGAGGTCTTTCTTGCACTGGGAGAACCAAAATACAGGTTAGACAGGTGTAGAAGGAAATAATGGCTTCACTTCGATCCTCTGGCTAAACTTTTCTAATGTGCAACAGATTTATAGACCTAACTGCTAATCAGCTGAATGGATTCCAGGGACTTATTCAGTTTTTATTACCACTTTTTTTTTAGAAGCCAAACTTACTGTTTTTGTCAGGTAGTGTGATGGATATACTTTTGAAAGCATGGAGGTACTTAAAAACCAAACCACACTACACTAATAAAAAAGATATTCTGTGATTACTAGAGATTTCTTTAAACTGTCTAACCAGACAGAAGAATTCAGAGCAAAAATCATAGCCAAAATGTAAGGCTCTTTCAAAGGATTAAAGAAAACCCCCAAAACAACAAAAAAACCCCAACCCAACTACAAATAACCCTAGTGGGGTAGTAATGTATTGCATGAAAATCACATATGATCATGATGGGTAGTATTATGGTTGACTGGGTAGAATTAAGAAATAAACAAGTTAGAATTTCTCTAACAGCAGCTTATATAGAGTAGTTGCCCTGAAATCATTGATAGGATAAAGTTTTCCTGCCTTAAATGATACTTTAACCTCTCTCCATGATGGATTAGTTAAGCATTGCTTGCTTGAGTAGCCTGTGAATTGGCTTGCTGCACATGTTTAAACAAATGTGAACTTGACTCATGTAGGCCCATGGGACAAGACAGACTGCTGTGAAGAGCAGCAAGATAACTGTGATGTTCTCAAGGGGCTGTTCTTTACTACCGTAGGTTGTGGAGAACACGGGTAAGCCATAATGATTAGAGAATGGTGAATGTTACACCTATCTTCAGAACAGGCCCAAAGTTCAACCCAGGGAACCACAGGCTGGTTAGCCTCCCTTTGGTCTCTGGGGAAAGTCATGGAAGACATTCTGGACATATGGAAAGGTGGTGACTGAGAACAGTCAGCAAATATTTACCAAGGATAAATCATGGCCTGACCAACCTGACCACCTTCCGTGTTAAAAATGGCAGGATTTGTGAATAAGAGGAGAGGAGTGGCTATTACCTCAACTTCAGGAAGGCTGAAGGGAGTGACTGACAGGAACCTCTTGAAATTCAACAGAGACAAAAGCAAAGTCCTGTATCTGAAGGAAGAGCCCCAGGCTAAGATTGGCTGGGGGGTCAGCTTTGCAAGATTGGCTGGGGGTCTGACAGACAGAAAGCAGAACACGAGCCAGCAGTGTATCGTGTGAGCAAAGGCAAGTGGTGTCCTGGGCTGTATTAACAGGAACAGAAACAGAAGATTGAGGGGAAGTGATTATTTCCTTCTACACTGAGCTTGTTAGATATTCTGTGAAAGACATCAAACTATGTGAGTTTGGTGGAGTACTACCAAGACAGTTTAGGATTGGAGCACTTGCCCTGTGAGAGGAGGCTGAGGGAACCAGGCTCATTCAGCCTGGAGAATAAAAGGCTTCAGGGAGGCCTAACAGCAGCCTTCCGGCTCCTATGAGAAGATGAACAAGATGGAATTAGTCTCTTCACAGTAGTGCATGGCAGGAGAACACATCTTGTAATAAGAGAGATTCTGATGGGTATTTTTTTGGGAAATGTCGTTCCCCTCCTCCACCCATGAGGACAGTTCAGCAGTGGAACAGGGCCCCAGGGTGGCTGTGTGGCCTCCATCACTAGAGACTTTCAAATGCTGACTGGATATAGCCACCTGGTCTGCCCTCATGGCTGATGCTACACTGAGCAGGGCTAGAGAACTTCTGAGATGCCTTCTAACCTGAATTATACTATTATCCTAAACAACTGTAAAAATTGAAGATAATTTTGAGACTGTTTCTTATGCCCCAACCATTATTTTTAGGCTGAGAGATGCCTAGGTTAGAGTCCCTTTATCTTTCTTCTGTATAGTTGGTGATGTGGCTTAGGCTTTTGATTGTACTAGAATACAAAAATAGTGTAAGTATAAGGAGCTTAAAGTATATCTTGTATATGTTCTATGACATGACACATTGAAAGCTCAATATCTATTTGGTTACGTGAAGTATCATAAAATGATAGACTATAACCTAGATTGGTACTGGATCCTCTGCTTGAAAAAATCATGGCAATTTACTAATATAATAGCCTGTTCATGTATAATTGGAACAGTGACTGTTGCTACA